GACAACCAAAAGTTGTACATGTGGCTAGTTGTACCCTCATCATAATTGTAAATGTTGTTAATTATCTAATAAAAAGCTCCTGGCTATAGAGGTTATCTTAACACCAAAAAAAATATATAAACATATGTGACATCTTCCCTGACTGTTATATAAATTATTTAATAAAGATATGAGCAAGGCCTCATCTTAAAAAAAAAAAAAAAAAAAAAAAAAAAATTTACTATTGCATAATAAGCAAGAAAATTTAAAAGTTGTGCCAAATTTAATCTTATACTGTAAGAATTATTATATAATACTAGAAAATTAATTTGTTTATTACTAATAAAATCATGGAATTTCAAAATAAAAACATAAAGAACTTTAGTATATTTTTTTTTATTGGAATATATATATTTTTTTATACAAATAAATTTTAGAAGTAGACAATTTGTGCACTAAAGCATGTTTTGAAATAATAATTTTTGTTATTATAAATAGTTTTTTTTTTTTAAAGAATTCATGTCATTTGCCTTATAACAATTTGCTAGACAATAATTTTTAGTAATATTTTTTAAGAATATTATTAAAAAAATAGCTATTGGGCAAATTGTTGTAGGGTAAATAATATGAACCCTTTTTAAAAAATATATGTTAAATAAATAGAAAATTTACAAATAAGGGCCCAAAAAAGTAAAATAATTACATATAAGAGCCCTATTTTAAAAAATTTTACTATATCTTATAATATAGTAAATGAAATTTAATAATTTTAATACTATTCAAATCATCTTATTAAGATAAATTGGATGGTACTAAAATTGCTAAATTTAAATTACTAGATTATGAGATATTTGATATTTTCCAAAATTTGTTTAAATCATAATATCTAATTATCCATTAATTTAAATTTAGCAATTTTAGTATTATTCGATCTGCCTTGACAAGATGATTTAAATAGTATCAAAATTATTAAATTTTGTTTACTGTATTATGAAATATAGTAAAATTTTCTAAAACAAGACCTTTATATGTAATTATTAACTTTTTAGGCCCTTATTTGTAAATTCTCCTAAATAAATATATATTATATATATATATATAACTATAAGTATTTATATATATATGTTATTAGAAGTAATATTAAAATATCTAGCAATTAATTTCTTTTTGATCTGAAAAAATATGTGAAATTTGCAAATCAAAAAGAAACTGATGATTTCTGATTGCTAATATATATGTATATTATTATAGTGCTTTTTAAATTACTGTGGTTATCAAATTTCATACATCACACATCACATAGAAATCTGAAAATCTAGAAATCTGAATTTAAAAAATTCTAAAAATGATAAAAAAATTTTTTCTCAATTAGTCAAATTTCATATAGTAGATACAAAGAATATATTATCATAGTACCTGCTTTGGGTGCAGAAAATGTTTATATTGTTCTACTGATTTAAGCAATAGTACATGTGACTGTAAAATATCTCTAGTACCAACCAAGAAAAACTGAACAGATTTGGTTAAACAAGCTTACTTACGTTTCTATGAGCCTACTTGTAATACACATAAATTCAAATATATTTATAAACAAGCTATAGAATATAATTATCAAGTAAACTTAAAAAAATTATTTAAATTTTTTCTGTACAAACGATGTAATAATGTCTTTAACAAATCAAGTCCTGACAAAAAATTAACTAATACAAGAAATAAAGCAGATAATAAAGTAATTTTTTTATATTATACACAATATATGATATACAGTATTTTACTATATTTATTTATCTTTTTTTTTATAGAAAATAATTGAAAAATTAACTGATACAACAAAGGAAAAAGCAGATAATAAAGTGATTTTATTTTTTTGTATTATTCAAAATTTATATTTATTTATAACTGTAATTTTATTTTATTTTTTATAGGAAATAATTGAATCTTCTTTACTTATATCCTTTGCATGTAAAAATATAGATAATGAGAATGAGGCTAATGAAAATGAGACAAGCAGTAACAAAGAACCCAAATTTGTATTAGGTTACAAATTATTCATAAAATTATCAGATGGGACTTCGTTACTTGCAAAATGGTTTGAAGAATCAGTTACAACTATAGATAAATTTCTTTCATCTATTCATAATAAAATAATTTTATTAACTAAAAATACTAACACTAATATTTTGCCTAATGATTATTGTATAACTTTTAAAATGCAAAGAGAAGCAGGTGTCAGTACTTAATTAGCTGATGCACAAAATTTTATTAAGTTTAAAGCTGAATATTCAAAACTAACTGCAAGAAAAAGTGACATTGGAATTTATATTACTATTACACAACCTTCTATTTTTCAAAATAAATAAAAAAAGAAAGTATGTACCTGATAACAATAATATATAATAGAGTTGTATATATGCTTTAGTACACAGTACTGGCCATCATCAACAAGAGCAAAACTAGCAGCGATCTGGATAACTCTGCTTATAGCTCTATCAAATGTCAAAGTTAAAATATATATAGACAGTGTAGCAGCAATCAATGCAATTTGTAAAGGAGAAAGAATTAAAACAAACAAAGAGTAGCTAAGACAAAAAAAACTATAACTTAGTACTCAAAATTATAGAAACAAAACAAGTTAAGAATATAGAAATAGAACTTATCAAAATCAAAGAGCATAGTGAAAACAAGTAAAATAATAAAGCTGATTACTTAGCAAAACTAAAGCTAAATGCACCAGAATTATGTTTGCAAAACATTAATACAAACTCAAGGCTTAGATATAATATTTTCTAGAGCAGTAGCCTTATTGAGATACTAACAAGAAAATTTATCAAAGATTTAGAAAATACAAGAATAGCAACAGAGTAAAGAATTTCAAATATAGTAAAACAACTAGAAACAAGTGATGATATGCAAGAATAGGATTGGGAAAGTTTATAAAAAAGAATTAAAGGCAAAAGTAAAATTAGATGTATATCAATCAAAAAAGAAAAAAAACTAAACTTTTTGATCAAATGCCTACATGACAAACTTCCAACTCTAAACAATCTCAAAAAGAGAAGACCAAATCTATATAAAAAGAGTAACTGCAAAGTTTGTAAATAAAGTATAGAAGAGACACAAGATATTTGGCAAGTTGTGAAGTACAAGAAGTTTACTGATTAAAAATAGAACAAGCAGCTATAGACACAGTACAAGCTTTCATAGATGAAATTAAAGAACAAAGAAGATTATAGCTACTAGAGCTCCAAAATCTCATATTTGGAAAGAGCCAAGAAGAGAAAAGAGAAAGAAGAGCTAGATTTATTAAAGGTCTGTATAGAAGCAGTATAGCTAAAGACTTGCAAAACCTAGGCTTATCAAGAAAAGAAGCAAGTAAAGCTCTCAAAACAGTAGTATATGTGGTATGAAACTGTTTTCATGAAATTATCTGGAGGTAGAGATATAAAAGTAATATAATAGGAGCAAGAAGAAGGGATTGCAAAAGAACAAAAATTGAGAAGAAAGACAACTAACCAAAAAAGAAAAGAAACAGCCAAGAAAAGAAAGACATCCAAATCTAACTTGTTGCATATCCTCTTAGCAAAGTCAGAGAATAGCGAACTACTCAAAATTAAAGAAAAGAAATGTGAAAGAAATAAAGAAATAGATAGATTAACAGAGAAAATAGTTATTGATAGAGTATACAAAGATGGAAAGCCATTATGGTGTAGCACTTAGGCTGGTTTAACACAGCCTCTAATTTCTAGAATAGTCTTTAAATTAGTATGGCAGGTTGCACTTGGGCACCTATAGGGTAGCTGGGTGATGTTAGGCTTACAAATTAAGAGTAAACGAGCATACAAACTTATATAGTATACTTAGAATCTTAATAAAGTACTGGCAGAACCACCTAAGTGAAAAAAAAAAAAAAAAATAGAGTTGTATATATATTGTACATATGTTCAAATTAGAAAATATTAAAAGTAGGATGAACATAAATCAATTTCTATATATGTATATTATCTAAAAAAATTTTATGCAAAAATTGAACATACATTATATATAAAAGTTTTTAAAAATACAATTTTTTTTTATGAAATTTTTAAAGTATATACATTAAACCTGTCTAATTATGATCATATAATTTTAAACTGCTGTTATATTTAAAAAAAATATACTTATATATATTGCTAATTCTTCTTAAAATAACTAAAATTTGTCGAGATTACACAATATAAATAACATATGATTATCATCTGATTTCAATTAAATATTATTATAAAAAAATTAGTAACATGATTACTAATAAAATTGATTGACATTCACCCTACCCTTAATTAGAACTAAAATTTTATAGAAGTCAAATTTGGATAATAGTGAAGATAAAAAACCAAGCAATATGAAAAAAATGAACCAAATTCCAAGCGTCTCATTTTTATCTTCATGTGACAAAGACATTGCTAAAAATGTAGCAGATATCCGAAATGCATATCATTGCAACATACATAATTGACCTTGTTTGTACAAGGAAAATCTTAAGAAATCATATGTTAAAATAAATTTTACAATGTTTTCTATATAGGCAATAGACATAGTACATATGTGTATTGATATTTACATATCCATAATTTATTTATACTATATATACTGTACTGTGCATACTTTTTTTTAGACTAAAAGATTGGCTACAATTAAAAAGTTTCTAACATATCCACCTTTTTCTTATTCTAATACATTATCCAAAAAGTCTTCGCAAGTTACTTTGCTACAGAAAAAGCTATCAGTTTTATCATCTTTATTGTCAAGTATGCAGCTACCATTACCAACTCAACCAATTTTATTACCATTATCATATTTCTAAATACAAGTATTATCAGATTTGCTATTACAAATACAAGCACCATTCGTTTTACCATTGCAGCAATCTCTTGCACCATTATTTTTGTTACTGCTACAGCTACTATCACAAGCACAAATGCACAATTGGTCTCAATTACTTCAATTACATCAATCATTATTTGTAATTCTATATAATCCATACCAAACATTATCATCACAGACTCAACCTTTTCAACCTAATTCATATATCTTTCCTATTATACCTACTATGGCAGAGTTTTTAAAGAAAATAGATAAAAAGGGAAAAATAGGCCATTATTATTAGAATTTTTTAGAAAATTTTGAAGCACAACGAATTTCTGTTAAACAATTACAAAGATTGACAGATGAATAGCTTGATCAATATAGAGTAAATACTATTGGAGCACAAGAAACTATACGTGAATATGCTGAAAAATACCAAATACCAAAGTTTTAATATTTGATAGCAATTATATAAATTAGAAATATAGAGCAAATGAAAATGCTTTATAATAAATAATGTAATGCTATTATACATATTTTTGCAATTCAAATTTATTGATTTATCAATGCATTTTCACTTGAATTTTTTATTATATTTATTATATAAGCTAGAACTTTGTACTAATAAAACTTTGTCTTTAAATGATATCATTTATTATTGTCTTCCTTTTATATTAGAATTTTAAATTTCTTGTCTTACAGAAAATTGAACCTTATTGCAATATTCTTGGAAAATATATTGATATGCTGGATATAGGTAGATATTACCTAATCACGGGTGTCTGATATATACATATATAGCTTATTTTAGATACTTGTGATCAGGTTTTGCAATGAGACATATTCAAAATCGAAAGCAACACTAAAAAGAGCCTATTATGCCTCTAATTTGACTTTGTACCAAAAGCGCAAATATATAATATTATAAATACTGTAATGTATGATTATGCAAAACCTATACTTTTGGTGGTTACCCTGACTAATTCACAAAAAACATTTATAGTATAAATATGGTAAACTACATATATAGTACAGCATTAGAATAAATACACTAACTATATATATATATATATATATATTTAATTGTTATAACGATAACAATATTAGCAGTGTTGATACTAGTACAATATGAATTTGTAATATTTATCTCTACTTATCTTTTTCACATTTATATAAACCATATAAAATATGTTTTATTGATTCAATTTACAATTTTTTAAAAATGAATATACTTACTACATAATCAATATATATACATATGCATTGTTTGTTATTTCTTAGTTTCTTACTATTCTTTACTAGATTTTTTTACCTGAGCAACCTCTAACTAATGTTTTTTTACTCACCCCCCAAAAAAAGAATGGATTCATCTGAGGTAGCTACATAATATAAATATTAGTATATATAATATAATAATTTTACTATAAAAATAATTATAGTAATACCTACAGCTTGATTTATAATAAATTTTTTAAAATTATGTTTCTTGTAACTACCTTTTACAATATCGGCAGCAACTATTCTCTGCAAAGTCAAAGCTAGACAGATTGTGTATCTTGTCCCACATACAAATACTACTCTTTTTCTTGCCAAGGTGTTTCTTACTAAATATCCATAGCCTCTGGATATGGTCCGCTTATCCTTGGCAGATTTATCTATAAACACAAATTGCTCAGGTCAATAATGTGCACCTATACATACCATAAAGGCACTTCTTACGAGTTCATTCTATTCTTTCGCTTCTTTATAAAGCTAAATAAATAGATAAAAGATTATATTAGATAAATACTAAAGTCAAACTAAAAAAAAAAAAAAAAAACAACTTTTTTCTAAGTAATGCTGCAGTATGCTAACGATATCCATAATGTTAGAACGGATACAGACTTTCCCGTATGTCATTCCATCTCACAAACAAGTTCATCTAAGTAATAATCGACCTTTTCTTTAACTATACTTTTTAAAATCTAAACAATGTAAAATTTTAATTTTAGAATAAAATATATGTATATAGTACAAAAAATTTTCTACTTAGTCTATTTGATAGAATTTTTTTATTTTTTATTTTTCAATTTTTTGTTTTTTTAATTACTGTAGAGTGTAGCTAGTTTGTACAATGTTTATATATACGTTCATATCATCCCTGTTAAAGGTTTTTTGTCGCCCTGGGACTTGATGCCATGGATGAACTACTGTACTCCATTTTCGGTATATTTTTAGTATTTTATTCACTAGTGATTTGCTTAAATGCAAAAACAATTGAATTTCTTTTTTAGAATATCCATCATAGTGTGTATAAACAATGCGCCACTTGAGATCTTCACTATAGGATCGTGGCATCTTGAAATTTATTTATTTTTAAAAGGTTAAATTCGCAACAAAAAACTGAGAATTTTTATTAATACTATTAATTAACCAACTAAGAAATTTTGTATAATAATAGATGGTATGTTAGAGAATTGGAATTTGACAAGAAATTTTTGGAATTCTGATTTTTAAGTGAGAATTTTCAAAAAAATGACGAATTTTAGGAAATTTTACAGATTTCCATGTGATGGTCGATCATTTGCTGACCACAGTAATTTGAAAAGCACTGTAATTTATATTTTAAATGATAATATTAATAATCTTGATATTAACCAAAATTATAAATTATATAATTTATCTATAGAGTTTAACATCATACATATTTTTTTATTATATTTATTACTTGAATATAAAATTTTGTTTAATAATGTTTAAAGCTGAGAATGAGGTTAAATTAAAATTAAATAAAAGTTTTTTAAGAAATCAATATTTTTATTTAGAGCATCATAGTTTATTAACTATTTTCTGAGATATAGTAATTATGTGTCTAATATCAATTGGTTTCAAATGACGCATTTTCGAAAATAACTAGAATATTGATCTATAAATCGGAAAAATAAAAACAAGATTCTCTGATTTTAATTTTTAAACCCCTAATGGTGTATTTTAGTAAATACTGATAATAATACAAATACTCGATACTAGATTTCAATATTAAATTAGTATATAATACAGTTGATACTGTCTAATTACATACTCTAATTGCATATACTCTCTAAATGCATATAAATTTTTGACTTTTAATTATAAGCATAAAAAAGTCTCTGACAGATAGTATGCAATTAGACAGTATCCTGTAAATATTTTTTTAAAACTCTATTTTTACTATTAATAGTTTAATATTAAAGCGAAATCTTGCTCTTATTTTTATGGAATGCGGTTGTGATTAAAGTTCAAAATTTAATTAAAAATTTTTTAATTTATTTAATTTCTGAGCAATACATTTACATTTCACAATCATTCGTTAAAGAATTGAACTTGTACAAAACGAAACTTTTCAATTCAATTGCGACAAAACAATCAATCACTAATAGATTTCTTAACCGAATTTAAGTTGATTAATTTCAATGGCTAGTCTTCCAGATTGAGACTTTAATTATATCTGTCACATGAGTTAAAATTTTCTTTAGGCCTAACCTGAATTGAATATTATTCCTTCAAAAGTTATAAGTGTGCGAGAAGTTTTACAAGCACAATTAATGTCATAAAGAGGCAAACTTGCCTTGCGAGTGGCTGCTTTCTCAATAATCACGCTTGTAATAATTAATGTAGCTAGAATATATGACTAAAATATAAGCATAAATAGCTTTGTGATGTGTTACTGTTTAAGTTGAATTTAAACGCTTTTAATTTTAAAATTGAATATGCATTAGACGGATTCAGAATCAACTTTAAGTTGGTTCAAAATTCTTTACAATTTGATAGGATTTAGAATATTATCTCAACTTATGTGTATTTTAGAATCAACTTATGTTGATTCTAAATCAGCTAAGATTCCATTCCGACGTACGTATGTACAACATTATCAGTTACCATTTAGGCTGCTATCAATAGAAATAAGGCAAATTAGCATAATTGATACCATAATTCAAAAGAAAGTCAAGATATGAGTTGTGAAAATTAAAGTATCAGTTTTTTTAAAACGTCAATCTGCCTTGCCTTATTTCTATAGAATTCACACGTTAACAATAATTGGTACACGGACTGCAGGTCATACACAGGACCCGAAATCCTCGATTTTCATTGGTTTTTTTCGTGGATATTGCATAGACGTGTATTTAGTTTGCTTAGAAATATGTGCTCGATAAACTCTTTGACAATCAAACCTAGACCATAGAATATTAAACATAACTATAAAACTAGGCTAATTAGATCAAATTATATTTGCACATATCATAAACAACTTGCCTTCTGTAAACTTATTATACAGCGTTTATTTGGTTGTTATATTTAAGCGTTAACGTAACCTTCGAGTTGTAACAAGAGTATGCCATATAATCTTTTATCTATGTATTTAGCTTCATAAAGAAGTGAAAGAACATAATGAACTTGTAAGAAGTGCCTTTATAGTACATATTGGTGTGCATTATTGACTTGAGCAATTTGTATTTGTAGATGAATCTGCCAAGGATAAGCGGACCATATCCAGAGGCTAAAGATATTTAGTAAGAAACATCTTGGCAAGAAAAAGAGTAGTATTTGTATATAGGACAAGGTACACAATCTGTCTAGCTTTGACTTTGCAGTGAATAGTTGCTACTGATATTGTAGAGGGCAGTTACAAGAAATATAATTTTAAAGAATTTATTATAAATCAAGTTGTAGGTATTACTATAATTATTTTTATAGTAAAATTATATATACTAATATTTATATTATGTAGCTACCTCAGATGAATCCATATCCTCATTCTAAAAGTATCTTAGTTTTAGACAACGCACGTATTCATTATAATGAAGGATTATGTGAATATCTAGATACCTTTGAAGTGTATATAGAATTCTTTCCTCTATACTCACCAGACCTTAATCCAATTGAAGAAGCATTTTCTTTGATCAAAAGATATTTAAAATAGAATCATTATTTTGTTGAAAATTCATATGATCCAAAATATTCATTATTAGTCACGTATGCACAGATTGAACCTGAAGTAGCAAAAAAAATTATCAGAGATGCAGGGTATAAATAATATTAGCTATTATAATCTTTTTTTGGAGGTAAGTAAAAAAACATTAGTTAGAGGTTGCTCAGGTAAAAAAATTTAGTAAAGAATAGCAAGAAGCTAAGAAATAACAAACAATGCATACATATATATTGATTATGTAGTAAGTGTATTCATTTTTAAAAAATCATAAATTGAATCAATAAAACATATTTTATATGGTTTATATAAATGTGAAAAAGATAAGTAGGGATAAATATCACAAATTTGTATTGTACTAGTATCAATACTGCTAATGTCGTTATTGTTATAAGGAGAACAATTAAATATATATATATATATAGTTAGTGCATTTATTCTAATGCTGTGTGAATATATGAAGTTTACTATATTTATACTATAAATATATTATGAAAGATAATTCTTTTTTGCGAATTAGTCAGGGTGATCACCAAAAGTGTGAGTTTTGCATAATCATACATTACAGTATTTATAATATCATATGTTTGTGCTTTTGGTGCAAGGTCAAATTGGAGGCATAATAGGCCCTTTTAGTGTTGCTTATCCAATTTTCGGTATGTCTCATTGCAAAACCTGATCATGAGTATCTAAAATAAGCTATACATGTATATATCAAACACCATAATAGGTAATATCTACCTATATCTAGCATATCAATATATTTTCCAAGAATATTGTGATAAGGTTCAATTTTCTGTAAGACAAGAAATTTAAAATTCTAATATAAAAAGAAGACAATAATAAAAGATATTATTTAAAGACAAAGTTTTATTAGTACAAAGTTCTAGCTTATATAATAAATATAATAAAAAATTTAAATGAAAATGCATTAATAAATCAATAAATTTGAATTGCAGAAATATGTATAATAGTATTATATTATTTATTATAAAGTATTTTTATTTGCTCTACATTTTTAATTTATATAATTGCTATCAAAGATTAAAATTTTAGTATTTGGTATTTTTTAGCATATTCACATATAGTTTCTCATGCTCTAATAGTATTTACTCCATATTGATCAAGCTGTTCATCTGTCAATCTTTGTAATTGATTAACAGAAATTCGTTGTGCTTCAAAATTTTCTAAAAAATTTTGATAATAATGGTCCATTTCTTCCTTTTCATCTATTTTCTTTAAAAACTCTGTTATAGTAGGTATAATAGGAAAGACATATAAATTAGATTAAAAAGGTTGAGTCTGTAATAATAATGTTTGGTATGGATTATATGGATTTACAAATAACAGTTGATGTGATTGAAGTAATTGAGACCAATTGTGTGTTTGTGCTTGTGATGATAGCTGTAGTGGTGATAAAAATAATAGTGCCAGAGATTGCTACGACAGTAAAACAAATGGTGCTTGTATTTGTAATAGCAAACCTGATAGTACTTGTGTTTGGAAATATGATGATGATGATAAAATTGGTTGAGTTGATAATGGTAGCTGCATACTTGACAATGAAGATAATAAAACTGATGGCTTTTCTTGCAGCAAAGTAACTTGCGAAGACTTTTTAAGTAATGTATTAAAATGGGAAAAAAGTGGATGTGTTAGAAACTTTTCGATTGTAGCTAATCCTTTAGTCTAAAAAAAAGTATGCACAGTACAGTACATATAGTATAAATAAATTATGAATATGTAAATATCAATACGCATATGTACCGTGTCTATTGCCCATATAGAAAGCATTGTAAAATTTATTTCAACATGTGATTCCTTAAGATTTTTCTTGTAGAACAAGGTTGATTATGTATGTTGTAATGATATGATTTCAGATATTTGCTGCATTTTTAGCAACATCTTTGTCACATGAAGATAAAGATAAGAAGCTTGAAATTTGGTTCATTTTTTTTGCATTGCTTGGTCTTTCATAATCTTCACTATCATCCAAATTTGACTCCTATAAAATTTTAGTTCCAATTAATATTTTCTAATTTGAACATATGTACAATACATATGCAACTCTATTATATATTATTGTTATCAGGTACACACTTTCTTTTTTCATTTATTTTGAGAAATAGATGGTTGTATAACAGTAATATAAATTCTAACATCACTTTTTCTTGTAGCTAGTTTTGAATATTCGGCTTTAAGCTTGATGAAATCTTGTGCATTAGCTAATTGAGTGCCAGCACCTGCTTCTCTTTGCATTTTAAAAATTACACAATAATCATTAGGCAAAATACTAGCATTAGTATTTTTAATTAATAAAATTATTTTATTATGAATAGATGAAAAAAATTCATCTATAGTTGTAACTGATTCTTCAAACCATTTTGCAGGTAATAAAGTCCCATCTGATAATTTTATGAATAATTTGTTACCTAATACAAATTCGAGTTCTTCATTACTGCTTGTCTCATTTTCATTAGCCTCATCCTCATCATCTATAGCAATAAATATAGGTGAAGAAGATTCAATTATTTCCTATAAAAAATAAAATAAAATTACAGTTATAAATAAATATAAATTCTGAATAACACAAAAAAATAAAATTACTTTATTATCCACTTTTTTCTTTGTTGTATCAGTTGATTTTTCAATTATTTTCTATAAAAAAAAAGATAAATAAATACAGTAAAATATACCATATATTGTGTATAATATAAAAAAAATCACTTTATAATCTGCTTTATTCCCTGTATTAGTTAATTTTTTTTCAGGACTCGATTTGTTGAAGACATTATTACATCATCTGCACAGAGAAAATTTGAATAATTTTTTTAAGTTTACTCGATAATTATATTCTATAACTTGTTTGTGAATATATTCGAATTTATATGCATTACAAGTAGGCTCATAGGAACGTAGATAAGCTTGCTTAACCAAATCCATTCAGTTTTTCTTAGTTGGTATCAGAGATATTTTATAGTCACACGTACTATTGCTTAAATCAGTAGAACAATATAAACATTTTCTGCACCCAAAGCAGATACCACAATAATATTTAAGTTTTCTATTCTTTGCATCTACTATATGAAATTTGACTAATTGGAAAAAAAATTTTTTACTATTTTTAGAATTTTTTTTTATTTATTTAAAAAAAAATATTTTTTTTTTAGATTCAGATTTTCAGATTTCCAGATTCTTGTATAATGTGTAATATACAAAATTTGATAACCACAGTAATTTGAAAAACACTATAAATAAGAAATTAGGCTATATCAAAATTATTATTTTGTTTCATAATACAAGAAAAATAATAGTAAACCAGCTTTTAATTTTATTTTTAAAAATTTACACGAATATAAAAAAACATGTAAACCTTTTTATAAATATTTAAAAGAAATTCATTTTGATAATAAATATATAAGAACTAAAAATTTTAAATTTATATAGTCTCAGTATAAAATTTGTTAATTTTTTTTGTATAAAACATATAGGTCTATTTTTTTAATAAGCTTTTTTATCAGACAAATGTCCATTGTCTGAACTCTATTATGCCAACCTTGTAAATATTAACTCTAACCCAAGTATTAACTTAATACAAATGAGACTTTAAAAAAAATTGTCTCTTTAAATGATTAAAAAATCTTCTTTACACTCTGGATCTGTGCAAACTACTATCTATTATGAATACAGAGACATTAACATGTCAATTTATTATCTAACCAAATGTACAAAGTTGCAAACACTATTCTATTACTCATATTACTATTAGGGTTGTGGTCCAAAACCTTTTTTTAAATTACGACATTACTACTTAATTTGGGTTTGGGAATTGGGATTTCTACCTTATTTGGGTTAATAACCCAAACCCAAATATATGTTCCATTTTCATGAATAGTGGTAAACTCAATTTATCAAATAAATCTGTATACATAATATTAAAAACTTTAAATTAATCAAAAAATTTAAAATTTAATTGAATTTATTCAGGTCTAAAGCAACAATCATTTAAAGATCGAATTTGATTCAAAGATTAAATAAGATTAAATCAGAATTAGATTGACCAATTATCAGATATATTAACAAGTAATAACTTGTAAATCAGAATTCATATTTTTATCACTTAAAACTTGTAGTAAAGCATATATATAATCAAAAAAAGGGTTATTAGATCTGATATCTAATACTTTTTTTGACATTTAAATAGGTTTATTAGTGCTTATTAAGCCAAAATTTAATCCTGTTATCAATAATACCCTTAAATTTCTTCAAAGTTGAATTCTAGCAATGAAAAGATAAATTCTGGATTACAGGTCTTTACCTAATAGCACTTGTATTATAATTTAGCTTTTCTTACAAAGCTATTTATCTAACACTATGAAACTAGATTTGAAAGTGATTATTCATTGTTAAATTTGGTAAATGGTCTATTTACATAGATTTCATAGCATTAAAGTTCATGAATTTTAGATCAACAGCTTGATTTTTCCTGATTCGATCAGATGCACATGATCATTGAAATTACTCTTCAAAGAATTTAATCTTGCATTACTATCACTAATTATTATTGCAGATTTCTTAAATCAGACCACACAAATCAAATGCGAATTACATATCTTTAAATTAATAATAATGATCCAAATCACTTAGATACTGGAAAAAAAAATTAGTAATAATAGGAATTAGGTTTAGAACTTTTAAAAATAAATTAAAATTCTCATTATATAACAAAAATAATATATTTTAAAAGCAATAAAATTTTTAATATTAATTAAATATAGTCAGACCTCTCTATAGTCATACTCTAAATAGTTACACCTCTATATAAGCACTCTATATTGTGTGACAAACTCAAAACATAATATAAAACCTCTTTATAGTCACAAATCATTTATAATCACTATCACCAAATAATTTAATAAATTTGGAAGTTTTATTAATAATTAAACCTCTTTATAATCAAAATTTTGTAAGCAATTAATCTGATTGGCTACAAAGTTCTAATAATGCTTAATGCAAAAGTTATAAGCTAATCTCTTTTTGGACTAAGATAATTTTTAGTTAATCACAGATAGTTGCTACATAATAAAGTCTAAAATTTACTATACTAATTGATTAAAGTTGTTTAAGTAAACATGTTTAAAAGATCAAAATACACATACTTTGAAATTTTTATTCAAATCAGAGAATATTTTATTATTTAACTTTTAATTTTAATATTCAATAAAAAAAATAAAATTTTTCTAAATGTGCTTTAATTTGGATAAAACTTTCAAAATATATGTATTTTAGAGATCTAAACAAGTTTATATAAGTGGCTTTAGTTAATTAACATAGTAATATTTAGACTTTACTATGTAGTAACTATTATAATCATAGAGTAGCTTATTTTTAGATCAATAATATTTTATATATATATATTTTTTTTATATTAAGGTGACCACTTAGGTCCCTCAGCACTTAGCTTTATTCAGATAATTATGATATTACATCAGTTTCTTAAGAATACAACTAGCCATACATGTACTTTTGGTACCTAATTTAAGTAGTCCACCTGGGTTCTACACTAGCCACCATGCCTGCAACCTAACTAGGAGATTACCTATTTAAGCTCTCTGATTATTTAACTAATGAGAGTACGACTAGCCATACAAGCAACTTTTGGGTACCTATTTAAGTAGTCTGCCCTAGATTCCACACTAGCTACTATACCTGCAACCAACTATGGGGGATACCCATTTAAATCCTCTGGCTCCATTTCTGTAACACGCTTTTACCCTAACACTTTTAATGAGATTAACAATGCCTAATATTTTATATTTTTAACCCAACAAGAGGGTAGTATGTTTATTAATTCTGTTTTTAAACCTGCAATAACTAGAATTATTTTGTCAATAAAATAACAATTAATAAAATAAACTGTCTATGGACTAATTTTTTAGTTAAATTGTCTTTGTTAGAATAAAGAGATATTAGATTTATAGAGTTATTTTTAATAAAATTTTTATAATTACCAATTATAATTTTTAATAGAACTATAATTATAGAGTTTTAGTTTATATTCATACTTCTGTATAATCACCATATTAGAGTACAACCAACTTGGTAATTATATAGAGGTCTAACTATATAATAATAAATTATATGCATCCTTAAATAAGCTCCATATCATGTTATTTTATAAATGATTTTAGTAGTTGTGTTTGATATATCAAAGCTTTTTTTGATCTATTGACTACAAGCTGCAATTATCTTAATGCTATTAGCTAAAAATTTTTTTACAAAAAAAAAAAGGTTATATATATTGCCAAAAACATATATTCTTTAAACAAATCTATATAAACAAATACTATCATCTCTTGATATTTAATAATAATGGTATACAGGTTAACCTCTCTATAGTTACCTTCTATATAAGCACATTTTCTTTATATATATATTTTTTTAAAACAACTATAGTCAGACCTCATTATAGTCACTCTCAATATAGTCACAACATTGTTATAATCACACTATTTTTTTGATCTATCTATTATAAAACATATAAATTTTGACCTTTATATAGTCACAACTTTTTATAATCACCAAAATTTTATATTCCAACCTGGTAATTATATTGAAGTCTGACTATATTATTAAATATAATAAATTTAATCTCTATAACTATAACACTTCTATACAATTACCCATTTTTGTATCCCAAGTGTGTGATTATAAAAAGATTTGACTATAATTAATTTCTTATAAATATAAACTTATATATTTTTGAAAGTGATATATATATATATATATTAGCATCTTCATTTTATATAAACTGTGATTAAATTTGAAAAATAGTTATTTTGAAAAAAAATCTATATCAATTGACAAATCTTCTAGTTCCAAACTACTCGAATCTATATTTGCAAAACATAAAGTAGATAAAAGAAAGAAAGTACACTAGTAATTATAAGTAGTGCAACAAAAAAGTTTTTTACTTAGATTATATTATCTCATGCAATTCTGGTCTGGGTATATTAGTTAGTTTTTTTTTATTATATTTACTAATAATAACACTTTCATCAATAAAAAAATTTAATAAGCAAGATTTTTTATGAGTACAAACTTTATTTCAAATGCTGTATTGTATTACTTTTCTCATTTTTATAGCAATATAACTATAAAACAAAAATTTTTTTTTTTATATAATAAAAAAAAAATTTTTTTCTATCTAAAAACTCTTATTTTTACTATCACATATAACTACCCTGAGCTCTAATTATAGCACAAATTCATTCTGGCATTAAATGAATTAACCTTTTACAGGGTTCAATATTAATAGCCTGCTAGACTATCTAGATCTTTTCCCAATGATCTATCTTATTTGAAATTTGTTTAGAGAGATCTCTCAACTGATGGATGACTTTATCACATGGGTTTTGATCAAGTTAAGATTAGAAAAATAGAGATATTAATTGAAGAACTTCATCTTATTTGTATTAACACAATATCTTGTCAAGATTGCTATATAACAAGATGCTTCATCTTGTTAGAAAGTAACCTCTCTAATATTAAATTCTTGTTCTCTGATCATTTATATTAAGCCTTTGCAAAGTATTTGCTGATACAAATCGCTGTCTATCATATTATCAACCTTACAAAAGCTACTAACACTATGGAAGCTAAAGCACCCCCAAATTATAACAAAACTACCTTCATATTT